CAAAACCAACAGTATGTTAGTTAATCTCTAAACAAAAAACAAACACCCCCAAAAAGAAATTTGTTCCTAAGTGTCTAAAGCAGTTGGATATTGTTGTTTTTAGCAGTTGTTTAATTTCATATTAAAAAAAAATAATTGCTGAGAGATGCACCAATCTGATTTGGTCCAGTGTGTAACATTTATCTAATGAGAGAAATTAAATCTAATATTCATAACTCAGTTTTCATTAGTGTATAATCACCTGAAAATAATAATCATTGTGTTTCTGTCACCTTAGAATGAGCCAATCATATCAAGAGTCATGTTTCTACAGTAGCCCAGAAGACAAACACTGGCTCTAGATAGGGGTGTCTGCAATTTTTGTGCCCTTTTCCAGACACAGTGTTTTCTCCTTTGTGCTTGGAAGGTGAGGGTGAAGCGAGCGAGTTGCAATATGCAACTACATCGCTAAATTCCACCTAATCCTACAGACTTGTCCTTTAAATACACTTTTTTTTTGTCAATGTCATTATAAAATGTAGTGTTTTTCGCTAATTCATTCAGTTACAGCGGGCTTTCAAATCTGTGCCATAGAACTCCCGCCTTCATGTTACTACTAAATATGATTCCGATAAGTTGCTTGCAGTGTGGTCCACGGATTTTAAATAAAAGACAGCACTGGTAACAGATGGTACTTGGCATTGGCAAATACTGAGCTGAGGTATCGGAATCAGTATCAGGTTGAATCGTTGCAGTTACCTGGCTGTTTGTCTCACAGGTCTGTATGTGTTGTACAATATGACTTCATTGTTCCAGTAACCTAATACCGAAGATGAATCACGCTTGATGCACGTGACGTGCAGCAGCAAGGCCTCAGTTTTGCCGCGTCTCTGTCAAAACAAATCAGTTAGTGCAACAAAGGACCACTGTTTTCGCACGTACACTTCACCTTTGTCTTCCCCACCCTCATGTTTCAGTGAAAAAGAGACAACACTGCAGGAACATTGGAACTGGGTGTAACTATCAGTTGTGGGTGCTTGTTTGTCTCGTGTCTGCCAGCCAGCCCGCACAATGAATAAGAGGTCTATAAAACCTCACCAACCACCTTAATTTGTCCTTCGAGAGAGGAGCTGGAAGGAAAAGAGACAGTTCATCTTGAGTTCAGAGTTGTCAGAGCAGGAGATGAGATAAGAGCGGGCATTCATACACTGATCTAACAGTCAGCAACATACAGATCTCTTTATACCGGTTGTTTACTGATAAGATCACATATAGAGACAGATTGCCCAAATCTCTGAGCTAATACTGTAACCAGGAATGAGTTTAACAACCAAAACAGATCATGTAATCGACATAGCTTCTCCTTTTATGGAGGTTTTTGTTCATATGATTTACAGTTATTTAATTGGTGCACCAAGACAACACATGACACAATACAGAAATATTCAAAAAGATTAGAATAAACAGCTGATTACTGATATAATTGTCACTTGGCTTGTTAGTCTGGTGTATGATCAATAGATTTACTGTTCTTCCTTCTATAAGAGATATTTATATCCCAGAATCTGAGAAAAATGTGGTGTCTTTTTTTCTATTCTCAGAATTGGGAGTTTCTAATCTCCGTGGTTAAATTGCACAAGCCTTCGGCATTCCAAAAATAAGGATATCTCTAGCTGTCTTACCCTCGCACCCTTGTGACCGAAAAGTACTCTTATGCCCGTAACCAATTCATATGATTCCTGTCCAAAATATCCTCATCGAAACTGATTTGAAACAGGAACATTTTTTGGGATTGTCTGCTGGTGAAAAAATGTTTGGCAGTTGGCTGTTTTCTGGGTTAGATGACTTCCTACAGTGACCTCACAGCCCTGAGCATTTCACATGGTTGAATGGACTCTGGGTTTAGCTGCGCAGAGAAACTGTGGGTCACTTACATTGGCAAGTGAAAAACATCAGGGCCTCAGAGAAACAACTCTAAGTGGACCAAGGAAACAGCACAAGCTTTAGGAACCCCCACTACTATCCCTTAAAGCTATAAATCAAATGTGTAATTTTGCTTTTCTACTCATGGATGAGCGGGTGGTGTCCGGATAAGATCATCTGGAGCTCAGTTGATTCATGCATTTGATAATTTCCCAACTAGACGTGCTGCAGGCAGCTGACATCATCCTGATTTCTAGGGTGGGACTGGATAATGTGTGTCGAGCCAGTGAGATCAACGTTTTTTTGAGTTGCTGCGATGAATTCTGGAGCAGGTGCCCGCTGACGGGGGGCCACAGGGGCAGAGGCAGAAGGGCCCCCAGCAGCAGTGAATCGGCTCTCACATTGCCTACATTGCAGAGGCACCCAGGAAATGGAAACTGCAACACAGCCCGCATTCATTGCAACCGCAGGGCTACATGGATAATGGGATTTGGAGGACCAATAAAATAAATCAGTATCATCTGTCAGTGGAGTATTTTTGGGGCCCGTGGAAAGGCCAATCAGCTCATTTTTCAAGCTGTTTTTCTTGTACAAGAAGCATTTACTGCAGCTGTGACTGTACATGAAGAGTACGGGATCCAAAACCATCAGATACGTGCAATCTTGACTTTATGGACTGCTTTTCATTTGTCTTTTTATGTGAGAGCAGCACGCTTCCAGCCAACCAAGACTAATCACACTGAATGCAGGAAAACATTTAGCCAAGTTACACAAGATCACAATTACTGCATTTTAAAACACTGCTGTTCTGAGGGATAATGGCTGCTTTCATCAGAAATTCGTCTTTAACTTCAGAGAAAGAAATTTGCAGCGGCAGAAATGTAACTCATGTCATGGTTATGCAACACCAAGGATCTTTCATCCCCCTTAAATACAACTCACATGAACCTGGTACGATCCAGTCAGAGGACTGAGCTACATGAAATCAATAACTGAATAAAATGGCTGTCGAGTAAAACTGAGGAGGAAATGATTCCTGTCATGCCATTCCACACAATCCTGGTGGATATCTTCCGCTTCATCCCTCTCTTCGTGGGCAGAGGTCCTAATCTCCGTACCCAAAGCGAGAGGCTAAATATGGAGAAGACTGCCAGAGGCTCTGCCCAGATGTTGGCCTGCTGCAGCTCTGCACCTGCTGCCAGTACAAGCCAGCTGGGAGATCATACTGAGGGACAAACACCCAACACCTCCCTCCCCGAAAAAAAGCCCCCCTCTGCTCTTCTTCTGACCTACAGCTTCCTCTCAGAGACAAACCTTCCTGGGACCACAGGAGTCCCGTTCAGAGCCGCCAAGCAGGCGCCACAGAGCCTGAGCTGGGGCTCTTGCCCAGTCCCATATTCATTGCTGGCAAGTGAGACACCCATCATCATCCTCTCCAGGCCCTGTTGTTGGCTCCAAATAAAAAAACATGAGTTGCAGCGGTGTCTGATTACCTTTCATTGAGAGAAAATCTTTAATAAAGACGATGTGTTCATGGGAGGCCAGAAAAACGTGGCAATTACAAATGGTCTAAGTTTTCTTCCTGTATCTTATGACCCATTTTATAAAAGGAGCCCACAGCCATGCCAGTGGCTCTGAGAGGGTGTATTCTGGCACAACAGGGCTTTGTGCTCAATGCTAATGTCAGCATGCTAATTTACCCAAGATAACAATGCTTAGTTTATCTTGTTACCATGCTAATATTTAACATATATAAACACAAAATATAGCTGAAGCTGATGGTAAGTTCATGGTTCCAAAGTATTGGACAAATGTGGACATTATGACAGCACCAGATGAAATGTTAAGGGATCACTGAATGAACAGGAATCAGGGGCAGATGTAGAGATATATTCAGAGGGTGGCCAGAGGGTGGCATGGAGCCTTTATGCTGATTTAACAAACAATCACACATATCAATCTCAGTATCCAAACATTACATTATTGTGGTACATTAGTGAAGCATTTAATAGAAATATCTAAAGGTGGCATTAGAAATCAATATTCTTTTATTTCAAAATCTTCAGACATTTTTCCAAACACATCTTTTTTCATTAAACTTAAAATGTGCCCATAACAGATCATTACATCACAATTTACATTTTCCAATTTAACGTTATTAAATTAATGTAATTAAAGTTCATTCTCGAACCCCTCTTTATCTGCCCAACAGGAATGTCTGTACTAAGTTTTATAGCAAAATAAGCATTTCGTACAACAAATGAACTTGTGTTACAGTTTTTCCTAAGTTGTTAACATTTTATGAATATGTAGACTACGGAAAACAGGAAGTCGTTTTTTTTTTCCTCAGCCAACAGAAGATGGCGGGAAGAAGCAGCGCTGCACGATGTTACCGCATTTCAATTAAGCAACTTAAATTTATACAGTTTCAACAGTATCCTTCCAGGAGAAAATGAACAATTTCTCAAACAAAAGCTTGGTTTTGCAGAATAATTAATAGGTGATTAATTATGAATTGGCCTACAAAATGCGAAGTCACTTGTAGGATGCTTAAATGCAAAATACATATAACACTATTATTGACTTCCTTTACTTTTCACACTTAAATACATTTTGTTGATAATACTTCTGTACGTGTGTCTTTACTTTGTGTGTTCCTACTTTTACTAAAGAATCTGAATATTTTTTAATACCTTGACATTCAC